AATGTATAGTATATAAGATATTGTTTGTTTTTTTGTTTTTTTTAATAAAATGTAGAAACACATTAAAGAAGGTGCAGTTTTCAGCTATAGACATACAGTTAAGCAATATGTTTAAATTGTTTACACACTGTACTGTACATCCTCATCCTGAGGGTGAATGATTGTTGAGGCGTATACAGCAAAGCTAAAATAGTATAATGTACAAATACATATAATTGTAGGTAAAAGTAAGGCACTTTGATTGTCAAAGGTGAATATTAAGTAAACAATGCATGAATGAGCCAACAAAATAAACATCATTAAAATGTAATGTATGTGTATAACTGTTCTTTGTTCCTGAATAAGCAGTTGCAGAGTATTTGTTCAAAGTATACTAATTTGGCTATATCAACTTCTGGCATATAGTGTTTAGATATTTAAAAGATTAAAGGTCAATGAGCCAGTCATCATTGGATAAGAATGAAATAATATTATTATAATTAATTTAAATATGTGGCAAAGACAAGCCAAACCAGTCACTCGTCGCAAATCGTGTTTCAGAGAAAATGGCCAAAACATGCTGGAATGTCAAATTTTTTTAAAATCTATATTATTGCATTAAACAAACTTTTATATATCTACACATCATTCTATGCTGTTATTTTCCCCATTTTCAATGTTAAAACAATACTTTTTAAGGATTTAGAGATAGTTTCTGCATGAGAAATGCCTGAAATTATAAACTTTGACGGTTAATTTCTCATATATTGTTCTTTAAACAGCTGTGTGGTTAAACGCTTGTAACTTCATAAGGAAATGTCCGATTTGAACGATTTTTTTCCATTTTATAGCTATTATTTTACTCTCGAACACAGTATTAATAATTGAAAATCGATTTTTGCGATGAATGGCTGGTTTGGCTTGTCTTTGCCTCATGTACTATACTTGTATTTGCATGTTGATATTGTGTTTAGGTCACTGGAAGGCCATGTAAATGTTGTCACAGCCTGTGCCTTTACCCCAGACTCTGAGTTCATCGTGTCATGCTCGGCTAATGGGGATCTTCGTATTTGGAATGCTAGTGGTCGGAGTTCAATGTGTCTGTTCTATGACCCTGATTGCCATGATCTTGCAGCTGGATGTCTTGCTATATCTCCCACTTTCGGCTCTGCACGTAAGGCTGAATTCTATTTATTTGAATGAGTTTGTTGACGCCCTAACACCCTTCAAGAGCGCAATGAGTTGACAAAATATAGATCAAGTGTCTGTTGAGAATAGGCTGTAAATATAAGGAACTTTATCTCCAGTTTGAGCAAAATTACTGAGATGATGATGATGGTACTCTTGATGGTAAAGATTAATTAAGATGGTTTGATAAATCAGCTTATGATGTTTGCTGAGGGACATCTGAACTTTTTTTACTTAAGACATTTCCTAAGCTGAGATTGATAAATCCTGGGCCTGACATTTCATGAGATATTCAATGAGACTATAACAACTTATATTATTTAATAATAATAATAATAATAATAATAATAATAATAATAATAATAATAATAATAATAATAATAATAATGTCAGCTCTTATTCTCTTTATCTACCTAATATATTTCAGTAGCATAAAAAGAACAAAGTTAATTAAAAAAAACATTTTATAAATTGCAGATCCAGATTTTGATTTCAGCAAGAGTGGGATGTGCTATTTCTTACTAGCAACATGTGGAGACAACCTGGTGAAACTATGGGATTTAGAAACAAGTCCAGGTAAGTTCAGATTTCTACATAACAACAATGATTTTAATGATGGTGTCAATAGTTTACGTCCAATACGAACATAATTCAAGTAAGAATTTACATATTATGCCAAAAAATATCTATTGAAATTAGGGATTCCTTATCTTGTTAGTAAACCCTTGTTTAAATATAAATTATAAACATTTAGAGTACAACATGAACATCAGAATAACATATTGCTAGAAGTAAACTTAATGTATAACATGCAGGGTTGCTAGCAACAGAAAGAACAACATGCATTTCAAGGCTCAACACAAGCATCTATACTGAGTTGACAAACCACCTGTACTTGCAGATTATGCAGATGCTGCTACCAGATGGGCAGTGCTCTCACTATGATATACATCATTTAACTCAAATCAATCAATTACAGTAAAAGTTTTAAAATTCATTTAAATATGTGATATAAGAAATTTTGTTCTGTATTAGTATTTTCTCCTTTAAGACAATAAAATTCTTTAAATATACATTTTTTATGAATCAAAATTGTAATTTGTTTGAGCTTTTTCTGTTATATATGTAAATGAAAAAGTTATATTTTGTGAATATTTATTTTTTAGCATGTTGTACAAAACTTAGATGCGAGTTGAAAGGACATACAGCTAATGTAACTTCTGTGGCATTTTCGGCCGATGGACTTCTCCTTGCTTCTGGGTGGGTAATAAAACTGTTTAAAAGTAATGTAAACCTGTTAAATTCTGGTAAACCTGTTTAAATTATGGTAAACCTGGTTAAATTAAAGTAAACTTTTTTAAACTAAACTAAACCTGTTTAAAGTAAAGTAAGCCTGTTTAAAGTAAGGAAATCCTGTTTAATTAAGGTAAACCTGTTTAAATTAAAGTAAACCTATTTAAAGTAAAGTAAAGTAAACCCATTTAAAGTAAAGTAAACCTGTCTATAGTAAAATTATTTTAAATTAAGGTTCACTGCAATCGCTACACTGCGTAGCTATTCCTGAAGCAGTCAAGAAGGCTCCATGATTTGACCGACCAATCAATTTTGCCACCAGCTCTCAGTGATAACCTGTAACAAGTGTTTTTTTAACACATCCTGAAAAATATAACCAGTATTTCAAAGAGAGAGCTGCTAGATGCATAACCATTGACACAAAGATCTTCATGGTTTTAGCACTTAAAAAGCACTTTTAAATTAAAATTAATTTTTTTTTCTTGATTAGCTTATGTCTTGTTTTAAAAGAGTGCCTAACCTTGTGAAACCATGTGTAAAAAATAACAGATATTTATATAAGTTATATGAATATGAAAAAAAAACCATATGAATAGTCTGTATGTTGAAAATATCTTTGTAATTTCCTTTCAGTGCTTTTGATAAAACTGTTATAATATGGAATCCGGTATGTATACTAAAATTTACTATTATTTTATTTCACTTTATTTCACATGCAAAACAGTTCAAAATTTGTGACCTGAAGTAATAGTTAAGTTGTCGCACAGGCCATTATTGAGTAAATGAGCTATAAAATATAGAAGCTCAAAAAATTGCCTAAAAATCCAAATTTATTTTTCACTTTAGATCAACACTTTAATGTCTTATATTCAACAAATCATTTATTTAAGGTTATTTTGATTGTTAATTCTATTAAACAATGTATGTACAAATAACTTTAGAAAGCAATTACTCAAAATCATGTTTATCTTGGATCAAAGAGTTCTGTACTTTCACTTTCCAATAACTTAGACTTAAATGTCCAATTTCAACGAATGACCCCTCATTTTAAAGATTACTTACTCAGGTATCTGGAAATACTAATAAATTGAATTTCAATTTTTGCTACAACTTCGCCATTTTGCCACAACTTGCCTCACTCAGTTCAAGAAATTGTGCAGAAAATATTCAAAACTTCTTGAACTACATGAGAAAGTAAAGAAAAACAATTAAAAATTTAATTTAAGTCACTATGATTTGATTATCATTGTATTTCTTTTCATTTATTGTATTTAACTGTTTGTTATTACTTATCATTGTTCTCCCGTTTATCTCATAGCTTACAAGTGAGAAAATACAGATATTAGAGGGACATTCTCGATATGTTACATCCGTAGCATTCTCACCTGACGGCAATTATCTCGCAAGCGGCTCAAACGATAAAACTGCTCAGATTTGGAACATCACTGAAAATCAAGGTAGAATAATTTTTGCGTCAGTTACCTTTACAATGATAATCATGAATAATCATGCAGCAATAATTTAGTGCATGTCTGGATTTGTATGTTCAGTCAACATAACACTTGGAAAAGAAAATTTAGCTGTTTTTCATCATACTTGAAGCATATTTATATAACTAAAACAAATCACTGTTTTCTTAGGTTTTCATGAATTTGTGAGTCCAGACGATATAACAATTGGACAAGAAGATTTGGTTGTTCTGCCGTCAAACTTCCAGGCCAAGAATGCAAGAGGAGATGTTAATGTGGATGCTTTGAACTTCAATTCGAAGGCCCTGAAAGACTGGTCTGTGCAAGATGTTGTTGACTGGCTTGAACTGCTTGGCCTGAGTCAGTACTGCGCAGCCTTTAGTGAGAATCATATCGATGGACAGGAGTTACAGGTGCTGGATAGTGACACCCTAGCAAATGAACTTGGCGTCAGTAAGTAATCACATGATTATTAGTTGGTTTCATTGGTGGGGTGGGGACGCGGAGTGGTCAGAGGGTGTAGGGGTCACACTCTGGGAGAACTTAGGTTCAGTGGTAAAGATGCTGACCTTCCAATGCTGGGTTTATAAGATGGGAAAATGTCAGAGTATTTTAAAAGACTGATAAACACCACTCTCTAAATCTTGTATGAGGCTTGGTTTATAAGCCATTGCATAGTAAATCCTTTGGCAATGTACTTAAAATGTTATATTTTCAAAAATAATGTAAGGAAATGATAAGTTTTACATATATTATACTATTTTTACTAAGTTTTATCTAATATTATACACTTTGTTGTTCTCTTTATATTTTCAGTCTGATCTCTAAGTAATGTTGATATGATTAAATTCTTTTCAGAACCTCTTGGTCACAAGAGTAAAATATTGCGTGGTTTAAAAGCAATTCAAGAACAGACATTTTTCATTGGAAAAGATCAAGGTGAGTTTCTATAGATTCGTCATCAATACCAACACTAATATTACATGATCATTGCTAACAAATATTCTAGTGAGTACTCTGTGTTGATAATAATATGCTACTTTTTAGTGCATCATGCAAACAAGACCTCTATGCACTTCACATCATTGCACAGTTCATTGCATCAAAAAGATATGGAACACAAACTTAGCTTTTGGCTTATTCATTCTTACCGCTGAGTTACTTTTTCATTTGAATGTTTAAATTACCTCCTGTTTCTGTAGGTGGCAGCATTCCAGACGAGTACCTCTGTCCAATCACGAGAGAGGTCATGAAAGATCCGGTAATATGTGCAGGTAAGATCACCCTAGCACTCTCTTTGTAAATCTACTAAGAAATATTTGTAATTCTGTAACATCATTTTAAATTTAAACGTAGTCCCGTAAGTCATGGGAATGAGCTGTTAATCAATAGTACTACATCTTGCATTGGGTGGTAGAGTGGGAAGTTCCTTTCCATAGCGCCTTGTTCCTTTCCATAGTGCCTTTTTCCTCCCCAGTAGTGAACCGGGTGTTATTTTCCCCTTAACATTGTTTTCTAATTTCTACATTGTCTAAGTTCCCCTTAAGAATATTTTTTTTAACATTATTATTATTATTATTATTATTATTATTATTATTATTATTATTATTATTATTACAATAATTATCATGTTATTATCATCATCATTATTATTAATAATAAATATAATTATTAATATTGCTATAAATTGTTGTTATTGTAATTGTTAGTGACTGTTATTGTTGTTATTTATATTCTTTAATTGATATTTTCTTGTTACTAGATGGGTTTACCTATGAACGAACGTCCATAGAATCTTGGCTACGGAAGAACAACAGCAGTCCCATGACCAACTCACCGTTAGTCAATTGTCATCTGACCCCTAACAGGAGCCTAAAGACGATTATACAGAGGATGTACAACCCATGATTAACTACTACTACTACTACTACCCATATAATTTGTGCACAAAAAAACAACCATTTTGTCAGATTCATCATATTTTAATCGAAATTATCTGAATCAGTATTTTTATTTTCGCCATTCCACTGATAGGTTAGGTTATTTGACAACTCCAATTCAGTTGATCTGCTTATTGTCCTGATTAGTTGTTTTCAGTCTAGATCCCGAATTTCTTAGCATCTTAGAGTCTTTTCTTTTGCTATTTGAGGATGTTGAGTGCATCCTTGACTGATACATTTTTCGTATTCGAATGGGAACTTTCGTGCTTGACAGAAAATCTGTTAAGTACTTTTCTTATTCGGTTGGTTAAATAACTCTTAACTTTTTTGTTGGGTTTGTGCTTAACCTTTGAAAGACTTTAAGTTTGTACTTGGCTAACATACTCAACGGATAAGTCCCAATCGAATGCACCAATTGTCATGATCCTAGGCCTCCTTGGGTTACCCATCCAAGTTCTGTCAAAGCCGTCTCATTATATCTGCCTGCTTCTGAGTTCTTATCAGCCTGGCTGTCAATGACTTAGATCTGCTGACAAATCTCTCAAGTTCACTCCTGTTTTAAAGACACCTGGGGCCCTCTCTCATGTTTTCTCTCTACCCCATTATCTGGAATGAACTTCCACTTATTACAGAATTCTAGAATGACTTATGTCAGTTCAAATCTGAAATAAAAACCTTCATTTAAGTTTTTATTTCAGTGAGCTAACGTCTTTTCTCTTCTTTCGGCCCCCTTTTATATGATTATTGGCCTTTGGTAGTTTTGAGGGTATGCCATGGCAGGTACCATGCAGAGGATAGACACAGGCACTGTAATATATAATTTATTGACTGATCATTAGTAGTTTGTGATATTAATGTATGTCATTAACTTTATTATTATTATACAAATTATATTAAACATTTCTTTTATTTTGAAGAACAATTTACATAAAGTTTTATATATTTACTCTATTATTTATATAATGTATGCCACAAGTGTGAATTAATATAGAAAAAATTATAATGACAACCAATTCTTTTTGATTGAATTTGAAGTGACTTCATAAATGCTTTATTATTTTTTGGAATATTTTAAATGCAATGATGTACGAATGTGTAATACTCTATTAGTTTTACTATGTGTACAATTACATTTTATGTACATAACCCTGTAAAATAATTTCTGAACATGTACATAGAGAAAGGTATGGGTACTTCAAGTGATTTGCTTTTCCTGTTGGACAGTTAAAAGTAAAAAGAATATAGTTTAAGTCCGAATCGAATGTAGTCCTGTAAAAAAATGAATAAAGAAATTGTGTAATAAAATGCCTCTGGCGGGACTCGAACCTGCGACCTCTCGCTGTCAAGGCGAGCCTCATAACCACTAGACCACGGAGGCTTTATGGTTGAACAGATTCAAATACCACCAGATACACTCTATTACAC